CTTCTTCCTCAATTCAGGATAGCTACTATTCTCTCCGATGACATTATAAGGCGCTTGCAGGAGCTCGAACACATAAGGTGTCTCTGGCTCCGTCCACCCAGACGCACCATGCTGTCGAAGCTACTCTACATCTTGTTTGGTCATGTCAGTGCCAGTCAAAAGCCTATCCAAACCTCCGATTGACTCCAGACACTTCTCTGCAAAGTGGTGTTCGGCATTAGATTCGGTAGAATTGGTGTCCTCGTCATCGCTACCATTGTCCTCATCCTCATCTGCACAGAAAATCGCGGTGTCATCGTGTCCATCTTCTTCACCTGTGTCCACGATGTCTTTCTCCTCAACTTCATTTCCAGGTTCAAGGCCGCCAAAGTCGTCAGGATTTTCTGCCTCCTCTACTGTATTCAAATCGGTTTCGGAATCATATAGAGTAAGCATTCGTATCCTGTATATACAGGATAGACTTATACTTCCTCTGGGTGATAATGATTGCAGGTTTCAGACATTTTAACCAATAACACCGCCTAAACTACGTGTTTACAGCGTCTAATTGGCATAAACAAAAGCCTCGAATTATCCCTTTCGATAGCCACCAGTTTCACCTCCAACGGACGCATGTAGCTTTCACCGCTACAAGTTGTGCTCCGCAAGTACCAAGTGCAATCTGAAGCCGCACCCACCACGACCGCAATTCTGCCAACCTCCACTCCAAAACATGTCCAAGCCTAATCTAACAGATATCGAGCGCAAAGCCATCATTGACGAACTTCTCAAGCTAAGTGACAACGGCGTTTTGCCCTTGGGAGTGTATGTCAAGGTTAGTCTAAAATTCGGTTGTGCACCCACTACTGTGAGTCGTATATGGAAGCGGTACGCCGTCGCCGTTGGTGAAGGTGTCGTAGGGGGTGTATGGGCTAGCCAGATCAAAACGAAGTGTGGTAGGAAACGGAAAAAACGCGATGAGGTGATGGAGAAGCTGGCAAAAGTACCTATTGAAGACCGTTCCGTTGAGCGTCGTGTCGCTGAGGCTGCTGGAATCTCTAGACATCTCGTGCGTCGGGCGGTGAGTGAAGGCATCACATCGCGAAAAACAACGTTCATCAAGCCAGCATTAACCAGCCAAAACAAGCTACAGCTTGTCGAGCACGCGTTGTCGCTCATCGACGACACAACGCTACACTTTGATCCTATAACCAATCTTGTTCACGTTGACGAGAAATGGTTCTACGCTGACCGTAACCGGCGTTCTTACCTTGTCTTCGACGGCGAAGAGCTCCCGCCACGGGCCTGGAAGAGCAAGCGCTTTATCCCCAAGACAATGTTCCTGGCTGCACTGACCCGCCCACGGTAAATCTCAATAATTTATATTTTAAAAATTTAATAACTTTTCATAATTTTTTTGTTTGACTATGTACGATCCCCATCGTAAGCAACACTGGGATGCAAAAGTAGGAATATGGTATTTCACGGAGCAGTACGCGGCAAAGCGGCGAAGCAAAAACAGAGCCAAAGGAGTCATTTGCACTCGCAATATTGACATGGTTGATCGGACAGTGTACAAGAACTACTTACTGACTAAAGTGTTTCCGGCAATTAAGGAAAAGTGGCCAAGAAAGGACCGCGGGCAGGTTATCTTTGTTCAACAAGATAACGCAAAGCCGCATGTTCCACCGTCCGAACCGGACATCGTTGCAGCGGGAACCGAAGGAGGCTGGAACATCAGGATTTGGTGTCAAGCTCCCAATTCGCCGGATCTAAATTGTCTCGACTTGGGAGTATTCGCGTCCATGCAGAGCCTACAGCATCGTTTACCAAGAAAGGGTATCGAAGCTCTTATTGCGTCGGTGGAGGAGGCGTATCGAGACATGAAGACTGACACTGTGGATAATATCTTCCTGTCTCTACAGGCGAGCATGCTGGAAATCCTGCGACAGAAGGGAGGGAATTTGTACAAGACACCACACCTGGGAAAGGCAAAGCTCCGGCGAGCCAAGCTGTTGCCTGTTAGCTTGTCGTGTAGCAGGGATCTATACGAAGCAGCAATTGTATTGCTTAGAGCTGCTAGTCGTGGCAGCGCACTGCTTTTCGATTCTTCTTCCATTTAACACTTTCAATATGATTTGAAAATTGATATCACTTGTTCAATAAGATTTGGCAAACAAAAAACCTCCCAACCTGTCATATTGCCTTCCTGCA